CTAAAGACTTTGACAAAATACAGTAACAAGGGACATTACACAAAGTATTCACTGTTATTAGTCTCTCTAGTTAGTTGTTCTCTCTAAAGAAGTAGAAACGATATAATAATATATATTCTGTTCTAATTTTTATATCTTGAGGTTATTTAGGTAAGATGAGTTTCTGTTTGAAGAAGTCATTAAGAATTGCTTTAAATTTGTAATATTCTCTGAGCAGAGAAACTATTTGTTATAAGGATATATTGCTATTATTAAGATCTATTAGGAATTAATATCAAATATAGCTATTGAGTTCTTGATAAGTTGTTAAGAAAAGTTGTTTTTGTAGTGGTAAGTTAAAGTAGCTTGAAGGAATTCTTTCAAGATTATAATAGTTAGTTAGTTTGTATTTGCATATACTGAGTTAAGATAATTTGCTAGAGCTAGTAAATATGAATAAGTTTTTGGGGTTTTTTTCAGTTATCTGATAAGGATATTCTAGTAGTTTGAGTAGTATGAGTTTAGTAAAGTATTAAATTTATAAATTAGATATAAGGCTTTGATAACTATTTCTGTTTGTAATTGTTTAGTGATTAGGAGATTAAATAGTAATATTTCAGTAGTTTCAGTATTAATTTTTTGTAGTATATCTAGTAGTACCTTTTTGAGAGAATTATAAACTTGATTTGTAATATTTTGTATTGCTTTGATGTTTTTAATAAGTTTAGCCTTCATGAAGTTTCTATAGTATTTAATCATTTGAGATATATAGTAGAGTTCTATATTTCTAAAGTTGAGATTAGTAAAGTAGTCAATTGCTATTTTTTGTTATAGCTTAGATTGAATTGCATCTCTAGTCACTTTGTTTATTAGAATTATGTTGTTTTTAGACTTGTATGTATTAATCATCTAAGTAAGTAAGTTAGAGTATTTAGTTTGATATGCAGATATTGTATATTTGTTATTAGTAAAAGACTTAAAAAAAGCTAAGTTTTAATGAAAGAATTTTAGTGATATTGCATTAAAAATAGCATAATCAGTAGGTAGTATCAGCAGTTTGTGTTGAATAAATTCTTTCATTAAAGTTAAGTTCTCTAAAGTCTCTATAATTTTGTCTTTTGGCTATAGATCATTATTAAATTTGTTCTGTAATTTGTCTTCTAGTGTATAAGCAATATGTCAAGTCTAGTTAGTTTTATAGATATTTAGTAGATCATTATCAGTTAAAAATAGATCTAGTTATAGATTTGTTTTAAGAGCTTAGCTATATGATTAGTAGTTATTTTTGAAGTTAGTAAATTAAACAGGATTACTTCTATTTTTCAGAAACTATATTAGTTATATCATCTGTTTTATCTATATCTGATTCTGCAATATATCTGTTGTTGTATTCTCTAATTTGGTTATTTGTTGTATTAGAAGTTTCTATAGTTGTTGTATTATTACTGTTGTTATCAGAGTTAGTTGTTGTTGTATTGTTGTATATAATGAATAATATCATTATAAATTTTAGTAGGAGTAAGCTGAGTTGCTCACTTTTTGTCTTTAAAGAGAAATTATTTTTATAACTTGAGTTGTTGTAGTAGCATTTTTTAGAAGAGTTGTCAAATGTTAAATCATTTTTTTCTATCTGTTTTTGGTTTATAGTATTTGAATATTGAGTTAGTATTTTTTTTATATTTTTAGTTAATATAGAGTTAGACAAAGCTAAGTCTGAAGAGAACTAGAGTTTGTTATTTAGTGTATTTTTGTTTATATTTGATAAGTTTATAGTATTGTTATTAGGTAGTATAGACATATAGTATTGTAACTTCTATTTATAATCTATTTTGTTATTTTAATTAATTATTTGAAGAAGTTTTATAAGGTATTTTTGGTTTTTTACTTTGTTCTATAAATTGGTTTTGGGATCTACAGAAAAGGGTTTTTTTTGTATATATTTATTTATTTATTTATTTATTAATAAACTGTTTGTAGATTATTTTATTAAGTATTATTTTTAAGTTTATATAAGTTAGTAAGAATACAATTAGCTATATATATAACTTCAGTTATTGTCTATTTAAAAGCTTTGCTATTTAGATTATCTACTAATTGTTATACCTAATATCTACTTATGAGTACTCTATTTAAACTCTTTAGTATTTTTATACAACTTAATTTTAATCTCATATTTAATTTATGCTAATCTTATTCTATCTTATTTGAAGACTATTCAGACTAACTTACACTTTAAATTGTTATAGTAGAAAGAGTTCTATCTCAAGATACTCTGTTAATCCTATTTAAAAGAAGGCTTATAGATAACTTCAACTATACTATACTATATTCTAATTAAGTTAGCATATACTTTTATAGATATTTGTTCTTATTATAGCTCTCTATTAGATTAGTTCTATATATTTCTAAATATTGTATAAAGTAAATTCTTCTAATCTAATTAGCTATTAAGCCAAATTGGTATTATTATTTGTATAATAAACTTACTTAATCTATATTCTTTATTACAAACTTATTTCTAGATTAAGCATTAACTGGAGTAACTGTTAAAATATATACTACTTTATCTAACACAGAATTTCTACTATACAAGTTTCTTGCTTATAGATTCTATTTAAATTTATTTATACAATATTATGTCATACTTCTAATATCTAATTAATATTAGTACAATATGATTTATAGAGTTACAACCTTCAGAAACAACTAAAGTTTACTATAAGTTAGATATAAAGATCTAAGTAATTATTTAAATTTATCAACAGTAAGATTTGAATTTTAGACTTTTTATATAGTAGTCTAGCAATATAACTACTATACTAAGATTACTAGATCTTTATTAAATTAATTGTTTTATTTAGTCTTCTTGAATTTTTAATACTTTGATAGTTAAGTACTTGTATAGCATATTGCAAATATTTAGAAAAAAAATATTAACTATAACTAGAACTACTTAAGAAACTAATATATAAAATAATAAGTATTTTGTCTTTTTATCTTTTTTAAGAATGCATGTTATTAATTTTTTTACAAGTTCTAATATAGTTATATTAGAATTAAATATTAATTTTTTGAACTTTGAATTATAGCTTTTAACTCAAAAAGTAAATAGTCTTTATTAATATAAAGCTATTGCAAATAATTAATTATATTTTTATTACTATATTTTTTAAGTAAATATTTCTACTAATATTCAAAGATTATAATATTGTATTTCAAAAAAATCTTTTATAAACTTATTATAATTGTTTTTAAGATATTTTTTTAGATTTAAATAAATATTTAATATAATATAAACATATAATTAAAAGCATTTATAGTTAAAAACTTATTATATATTGTAGTAATTAAAGTGAGAATAATATCAGTAAAAATAACTTGTAGTACTAATTCTTGTACTACTTCTATAATTTGCTATAATATTTATTTATATACTTCTTTTGTTTTATTATCTGTTAATGCCTAGGCTACTAGTTAAGAAAATAGATAATTATCAACTATTAAAAAAGTGATAATGCTATTTTATAATGATTAATTGTACTTGTTTTATTATTATTTAAAACACTACTACCAAATTTTAGCTATTATTTAATTTGATCAGAAGACATATAGAATAATTACTAAGAACAATTACTATTAGGGTTCTAATCTATCTAAACATACTATTAGAGATCTACTTCTTTCTTATTCAAGATTTCTTGATACAATTTACTAGTATTATTTATCTAATTCTGTAATTTTAGATAAAATTATTAAATTACTTGTTGTAATATTGACATATAGATTTTAAAAAAATATTTCTCTTCAAGAAATTTATAAATTTGTTAGAGGCTACAATTCATTTTTGTTACAAAGAACTCAATATCATCAATCATCTCCTTTGTAAATACTATATTTTTCTGAAAGTTATAATGAGCTTGGTTAAGATAATGATTTTTATACTCATTAATTAATTTTGCAATATATATAATTTTGTTAAGATTTTCTTTCTTAGGGATAACAGATTTATTTGCCATGTATGCCAATTCACTTAGTTGTTGTCTCTTTTTTTGGATTCTTACTTTTAGTCATTTTAGATTGTACAAAGTGTTCACAGACCATAATATGTCTTCAGATATTACCATTCTTTAACTTTTCAATATGATAACAATGTATCTTAAACCCCTGTCTTTTTTCATACTTTTTAATTTCACTTATAACATAATTCCAGTCAAGAAACACCTATACCCACTTGTAACTCATAGTGTCGATTGTTTTCAAAATTCTCTATGTCATTCCTTTCATATGCTATTTGATGTAACACATTATTTCTAATATCATGTTCAGCGTAATTATTATTATATAGTGCATCAGGTCTATCGTCCACATAATCCCACGCACAAAATGTTGCATCTGCCTGAAATTCTTTCTGGTAAACCTCTGAATTTACTGCAAAATTATTTTCATTTTGATTCCCACCAAATGCAAATTGATTATTTTCATATAGTGTATTGACCCCATTAACCGTATTCCTCTACCTGGAAAGCATTGAATTTGCTAGAAGTTCGTAGTAGGTATTTTCAGGATTTATTGTATTACCGGTATACTGTCCATCATTACTAACGTCAACTTCATTTATCGTACTACCACAATCAAGAAATATGCGCATGACTTTATTGTAAGCTTTATCAAATGTAAGTTATATTAAGTGGTATCAAGTGTAAGTATTAAGCGTGTGATATCAAATGTAAGCTAAATTAAGTCGTATCAAGTGTAAGTGATAATATGTGTAAGTGGTCAAGCGAAAATGGTTACGCGAAATGATCAAGCGAAATGATCAATCGAAATTTATAAGTAAAAGTGATCACATGAAAGTGGTTATGCGAAATAGGCAAGCAAAATAAATAACAATTGGAATTTTTACTTTAATATTATAATATTAATTTATTAAACTATTTTATTATTACAACATATGAGATAAAGGTCGCATCACAGTGCTATAGCACTATAATGCTATAGCGCTACAACAATATTTCTATTTAATAATTATGATACTAAAAAAAAATTAAGTAGTATTAACTTATACCACGATGAAAAAAAGTAAGAATATTGCACTTACGAATAGGAAAGGGCAAAATTACTTTGAAAAGTGGCGTATTTTTAGAGGATGGAAGTGTTTGTAACGAATGCAATCATCATTCACACCTATATTGCAAGATATGAAAAAGTAGCAGATGAAATATATAAGCAATGTGGATATGAAAGTTCTCGAATACTGTAATTAATAAATCGGAATTTGCGATTTTGTAATATGTAAGATATACGTAATTTTCCATAATACATGTTATTATGAACCATTTTATGTTCTATTAAAAAAATCAAAATTTTTTATCCTAAACCTAACGCTAAACTAGCTCGAATTTTTTAAAGTTTCGTAAAACAACTTAGTGGGTATACAGCGATTAGTTAACATGGTTTGTTAATTGGGTGGTGGGTAGACAAATCCTGTGTAGCTTTATTATAAAAACCAGATAAGCCTGACCGTTTATCTTTCGTTCATTTGGATATAACAATTAACGAAGAAAAACTTCTTGGAAACAATACAATATTATTACGTTAATTATCAATTTAATAATCATTGTAAAGATTTGATCCATTCTCTACCCTCAGTTCTATGTAATAAATGCCCTACTACACAAGCCTTTTTCCCCTCGAACGCAATTCCTATTTCCAGAAGTTTTTTTACTTCGTCTTGTAGACCTGCTCGATACTGCTTCTTTTCAATTTGACATAATCCTTCGTGAGCCACATCGCTTAAACTTTTATTATCATGAACAATTTTAAATTCAATAATTATAGCTATCTCACCAACACCCGATTTTGGAACTATTTTTACATCATATCTTCCCATACCAGCCTCACGATTAGAATGAACAATATAGCCTCGATCACGAGCAACAACAAACATTCCCAAGCAAAAGGCATGATAAACATTTTCTGCATTTTTTCCGGATTGAGACCTCCCAACATCATAAAACGAAAGCGTATCTATAACTATATATTCAAATTCTTTTTTAAATAAATCAAGATTTCCAAGCAGAAGATTATCTAACATTGATGTGACGGTTTGCCCTCGAGTAAAAAACGGTACATTGATCACCCATTTATGCCACTCTAAATGAATCTCAATATTTGGAATAACAAGATGTTTCTCAGAATTCATAGTGAGATATCCTGCATAGTACAAAAGTGTCCAAATAACCGAATCTTGATATTGATCCAAATATAAATATTGAAGATCATCTTGAATCTCAACACCAGCTATATATTCCCCTTTCAACAACTTCTCGACAGTTTCCTTAAATGAAGTGCTTGATTTCCATATACACTTTTTCAACGTTTGAGTGCTTCCTGTATCAACCCAATAAGTATTTAAGGTACCTCGTGAAAGAAAACAAACAATAGACCACGGATTATATAAATGTATATTGTCTCCTGAGATATACCCGTCATACCATTTCCGAACATCATTAGTTTTTAAGTCTCCACGCATTGGCAGTAATAGTTCTACCTCATCAGATGTGAATCCAAACTTATCTACATAAAGAGGGAATTGACTTTCTTGATGCAAAGGGTAAACTATGATATTATTTAACCCTGATAAAACCCCTGATTTTGCGATCCGCAATACACCGACCAACATTGCCTTCGCAATATTTTCATCATTGCTCTAATAACCAATCAGAAGTAGAGATTATTTGTTTGATTATAAAAAATTATCGTGATAATAAGAGTATAAATCTATCCTACCTTTAATAATGATGAGAACATGACTTTAAAAAAATCACTTGCAATTTCATAATATCCTTTATTATAGGCATATTCCATTGGGGAATCATATTCATCAATTAGTGCAATACATTTTTTTTTATAATGATTTCGCAGATATTCGGAGAGTTCCTGGAATGCAAATTTCAATTCTGATACAGAATAAGTTTGATCTCTATCAAGAATTCGTTGGTATCTTTTTTGTGTATCGGGATATAAATGGTTAATAAGAAAACGATGTTTTCTGTAAATTACAGCTATAAGTACTCTTAGTTGTGTTATCATTTCATTCCATGTTTCAGATGTTAAATCCTATTTTGTGATGGAATGAGTAAGAAAAAAATTATCATAACAAATGAAAATTATCATTAATACAAGCCTTAAGTGAAATATAGATGACAGGGTACTGAGCAAAATGTTTTTCCATAATTTCTATTTCAGCTGAAATTTTTAATTTTTCAAAAAGCTTTCTACGGATTATTTTTTCATCTTGAGACTGTAATATTTCAAAGAAACGGTGTAGCATGGATAGATTTGTTGACTTGCCGAATCGGCGAGGACGAAGAACAAGCGATACAAAATCCGAACTCTCAATAAACTCTTTTATGAGCATCGACTTATCAACAAAAGTGAGATGACGCCTATAATGGATTCAAAATTATCTTTTCCAATTGCAAACGTTGCACCAAAAACAACACGAGCATTATTGACTATATATAAAAAATAAAAGTTAATTTGTAAAGTGCAAGACTAAAAATACCAGAAAGGAAAAAGAAATTAATATTCACGAGTCTTAGTATACGGTTCAAAATCAGAACCTAACATGGCAACCCCCTGACTCTTCTCCATGAAAAAAGAATTTATATCGACAATCTGTCTGACTTTGAATTTGGAAAGCTGAGTAACATTTCTTATAATAAAATGATGGCCGTTCAGGCAAATGTACCCTTTATGAGGTCTGATTAGTTAACTCGGACGTGATCAAGGATGCTAACCAAATTTGATAACTATGATTAAATCTTTTCGTTATCGTTATCGTTATAGTTATCGTTATACTACGGTGATGCCATTTGTAGATATAATATATCGTGATTACTAACTATGTAATATTTACGTATTTAAACAATGCAATGAGCTATACATAACGATACGGTGGGGTATTCGATGTACTATGTAAATCAAATATAAGTATTGTCACATGAGAGAATTGGGTTCCGAGCTTTCTTTCCGGAACCATATAACTTAGCCGCAGTCCAATTTTACGGCTAA